GAATAAATCGGTTATATATTTAAAATTGTGCTTCAAAAAAAAATCGGGCGTTACTTTTGATGCCGACTGTACATGTATTAATTGCGTGTACTCATCCAACAACACCAAATAATGCTACCATCGTATTATTGATGAACTTTGTTAGGTGATTTGAGCTTTAGTTCATGATGAATTAAAATGTGATGCTTTTACCAAAAAAAAAAGTAGTTCTTACGAGTGAATAATACCTCTTGGTTTTGAAATTCATGTTTCTCGCTGAGTTATTTGTCGAGTTGTTGTGTATCTGAAGTTACACTGCCACAACAGTCTCTGAAAAATCGAAAATGCATCGTGGCCACTCTCGGCAGTGAATGTTCTTGCTGGTGGATTCATGATGAATAGAATACACTCTAAATATTGAAGGAATCTGTGAATATTCCGGCCTTGGATCGTCTTTAGTTTGTTGACGATTATGATGCAAATGCTCACTTTTTTACTATTATCAATTATCTAGAGGCCCAGGTGACAGAGGAACATATGTCAGGGTAAAATTCGCGATTCAATGTAAAACTGGATATGAAATATATATAATATATATTAATTATATGTGTTGACAAATCTAATCAATATCATAGGATCCTCCGTCGTCCGTGAGATGAAAGGTGTGTTAAGTGAAGAATTAAGTGGAACGATCAGTATTATAGTGGGTCCCTTGTAAAATAGATTTACAAATGGTGCAATAGAATCAGCCAGAACGCATCCTCCTGACCGATAAGACACGTTTACCCCTATACATTTCATTGATCGGTTACCAGGAAGACCCTTCGAATTTTTCCTCCTTCCTAATTTCTTCATATGTATTCATTTATGATGATGGGGTACACAGATGTTATGGCCTTTGCTTTTTTGTATATATTTAATTTTTTAATGTATTTTTTCTTGGTACATACACTATTTTATCTCTCCTTTAAACAAATCCATATCAGTGATATGGTACACGGTCACTTGAACATTGACGTTTCTGTCGTCTGTATACGGTTAATTACTAAATATTATCTTTTTTATCTACCTTAATCGTTATTCCCACCCATAAAAATCATCCAGTTCGTACGCGCATTTCGTCGTTCGTAACCCGGCCCGGGAAAGAGCAATCTGCCGGTGCCGATTTGAGCCAAAAATTTTGGCGTGAGAGTTCGTGTTAATGCCCACAAAAGATTGGTAAATTTTTTATCAGCTTTCATGCCATATATCACCACATACTGCATCATATTAGGCACGTGGCGGTGGTGGTGATTTCGAGATCTCTTCATTCTTATCGTTGATAGAATCAAAAAAGTCAAAAAGATCCTTAGCAGATGGTCTGTTTTCTGGAATAGGATCACAACATTTTCAATAATAAACCTGATTAATTTAGGAACATTGTTTGGTATTGTAGGTCGTACTCCGTTATAGATGTCTAATACGAGATCATTCGTTCACCAAATGGTCGTTCACCTGTGACAACTTCGTACGTAATCATAAATATCTGCAGCTTTTGTGTGTAATAATTCTGTTTGTGTTGTATCGATTTATGCATGAAAAATGACGCAGAAATTATGAACGTTAAATTATGAGATAAAACATGAGACAGAACGCATAAAAAAGAAGGCTCTTATAAATTATATTGTAGGCGCAACGGTATTGACAATGGCAATCGCAACATTAATAACGATAATAAATGCACAGATAGTTAATAAAAGTGAGTGAAAAAAAAAATAAAATTATCTCAATGATATTTTTTAGATTGCATTCGATTTTTTCATAAAGACTTATTGTCCCAATAACGATAAAGATTAAATTTATTTGACAAACAATCAAGTGCATATAAATAAATTTGAGACTTGATTCTCAACTTCGGACTTCACACTAATAAAATAAAGCAGTTAGAGAAAAAAATACTTACCCTTAATTTATCAGTTAAGCTACCCTTCATCTGCATGTTCACGATTAGCATCACCTTGAATAGTGGTTTGCGAGAGTTCAACCTTTTCCGTACTACTATCTAATTTTTGTGTTCAACATCTTGTTCTGCAGCACTTTGTTTATCCTGACCTGGTGTATTTGAGCATCTTCATCAATCTGTTTGGCTCCTTGTCTGTCACTAATACTAACATGTTGTACTGGTGAAGCAGGAGATGTGACTTGTTGCTGTGGTTGCTGTGTGACAAATTCTTGTTGACCAGCTGTTGTGAGAGACTGGGAACACCACCAGCATTGAGCACTGGATGATACAAAATCACCTGGTAGTTGTCGAGATAGTTGTGACTGAGACAATTATGACTGAGGCTGTTGTGGTTGCGGCTCTTGTAATTGTTGTCCAGGATCAACTCGATCTATTTTTAATACTTGTACCAAACGATCAATCGTTTCACCAACTTTTACAGCTAGACTATTAGGAAGTACTCTATCCAACATCTGAGTTTCAAATTCATGTTGATGCTGAATTTCCTTCTGCATTATCAAACATACGTAATAAAATATTAAAATGATAATAAACATGCATCCAGTATCAACATCTGATCCACAATAGCATTGATATTCATCCATATGTCTGGCATCCATATAGTAATACACATACAACACATACATTCTCTATCCCCAAAGAATGTATATTATTATGTGTGTGCTGGGGGAATATGTGTATACTATGTGTATATTAGTAAATATATATATATTATTTAATTTATATATTAGACATGTCAAGAAATATAGGGAAAAATGTGTTATTTGATTATGAATGCTGATGTCTTGGATATTATTTAGAAAATTTTTATTTGAAAATAAAAAATAAAAAAACAAAAACATTAATTAATTAATAAGATATATTTTTAATAATTATAGTACTATTTACCATCAACAAAATTCCAGAATACTGGACCAGCAAAAACCTAGATTACTGAATTGGAAGTTACCTTATCCAAATCAACAAAAATTCAACAATATTCAAACCAACAAAAATCCAACAATAAAATTTCCAAATACTGAAAAATTGGAAATACTGGATTACTGGATTACTGTAATATTAGAAATACTGGATTGGAAAATTGGAAATACTGAATTACTGGAATACTGAGATATTAGAAATACTAAACTGGAAAACTGGAAATACTAGATTATTGGATTACTGAAAATATTGGAACATTGGACTGCAAAGGATATTATTAATTTGATTTTTTAAAAAAATTAATAATTTTTATTTTTTTTTGTTTGATTTTTAAAAAAACTTGTGTTTTTATGTAAATACTTTTTCAGTTGCATTATTAACTTAATATAGCCCTGCAACATTATGAATAATACAGATTAAATATTTTTTTATTATTTTTGCATGTTTAAGATTTTTTGAAAAAAACTAATACATGTATACGTAAGCATTTTTCACACGTGTAGATCGCAAATTAGTTTGACCTGTTTAAATAGTCAATCAATTACGTACTTTCGGCAAATAAACGTCGTTCACATCATTCAAATACTATGTCTCTCTTATGGCAGAACGAATTATTCTCTAAATGGACCTTGGCGTTTGATTCAGCAAGACAAAAGTTTCTTGCTATCAGGCGACAAGAAGGAATCGAAGAAGTAAAACGAAAGGGAATTATTATTGACAGAGAAGTATCACGGAGAACTTATCTTAAGTTTTGTGAAGGAGAACCAAGAATTTCTGTTAAACACCGTTTGATCGACGGAAAAATTGAAGCCTACGAAATGCCTCTCGACCCTCACGGACTGGCACAAGCAAAGTTAACTGCTATTATGTATAATTGGAGTGATCAGTTGCGAGTTATTGGTGAAATAGAGGTTATTGTGGACACAAGAAGTGTCTGTCATCCTGATATTTGTATTCGACCAAGGAATCGTCGACAACCTCAACCCTCAGCAGCAGTCAATTCATCCGGAAAACCATATCCAACTCTAGTGGTGGAAATCGGCGATACAGAGAGTTTAAACAGTTTACATGAATTGGCTACGAAATATTTTTCTCAACGGACCACTATTCAAATTTATTTAGCCATCAAGTTATTCCCATCTGGTGCGCTTCTTGCACTACTTTATTTACGTAACAATCCAAATCAAACAATGCCTGCAATTGCCAAGTCTTTCGGAACAGCATCTCTTGCCCATCTCTCACGGATATATCTTCTAGATACTGTACATGTTACAGCCATTACTGGTGTCGGATTTGGAGGGGTTCCTTGTGATGTTGCCAATATTCCAGAATACCAAATATCTATTCCTACCATATTACTTTTTAATGATGTTCCTGGCGGTGTTCCTGGTGGTGTACCTAATAACTTTATTATAGATTTATGGAGATTGCATGATGCAATTCTGAATGATTGATTTAACTGTGTGGGTGAAATATTACTTTTCGGGTCAATAATTATTTTTTTCGTATAATGTAACCTGGACGATTTTAATGTATAAAACACAAGCGAACGACGACGACTTCCACATCATTTTTTAAATAAAACACTGCCATAATCACTAATAAACTCAAAGATGGCATCTAAAACTCATGATTGTAATAATAACTGTTACTGCGATGAGTGTTCACTTCACAATACTCACGCTCATGATTGTAGTAAATGTACGATTGTCAAAAAACGAGTACTGTTCTGGATGTCTTCTTTATCACAAACGAATCTATATGACTAGCGGAAATAAAGATATCGACAGTCAGAATTACGTAGTAGGAGATCTTTCGAATGGGTCCCCTCTGAAAGATTTACCAATGTTGAATATCTTGCAAAAGGAGGCTTTGGATCAATTTATAAAGCATCTTTGTGCTATTACGGCAGGTGGAATCATGAAGAAAATAAATTTAAACGAAAGGGAGAATGCAAAGTTGTGTTGAAATCATTACACAATTCAAAGCAAATTACATCCGAGTTTATAAACGAGGTAAAATGATCCCTTTTTTTAGGTGTAAGCATCTTGCTTTTTTGTTTTTCAATCTAATTAACTTTTCAAAATTAGATTCAGATTGCACTCGTTATGGAATAGGTTATTATGGAATAACTAAAAAACAGTGATGGATTATACAGAAGATGGCGATCTACGCAAATATATGAATTCCAATAACTTGGGAACAAAAATTAAGATATTTGATTGATATTACTCGCGAGTTTAATAAAATTTACAACGAGGAATTTGTGCATCGTGACTTTCACCCTGGAAATTTATTATTATTGTGAGAGCACGCAGATTGTTGATTTTGGAGATATAGAAAAATCTGATCAAAAAATTTGCGGAGTACTTCCTTATATGAGTCCAGAGGTACTAAATGGCAAATCATACACTAAGCTGCAGATATTTATAGTTTCGGGATGATTATTGTCACGGTTTAATCGTGATTAGGCGTAATCGACGATTTTACCTGCAACAATGGTTGGGGGAGCGATTAGACTGAGTGATGTTCGTTTGTTTCTAGTTCCTGTGCCGATATCTACGGATATCGTTCAGTATGACGGTAGAGAGGGGAAT